TGCCCTTGCTGTGGATTTATGTTACTACGTTCAGTCTTCCTTTGTCTTTATTCTTCCTCATGCTCTCCAGGCTCCTGCAGGTTCTCTGTGCAAATGTGCTGATTGTCTGAGAGTTAAATGAAAGCCTAGAATTCACACACAGTCTGAGAAAGAGCATGAGTTTTCTCAAAGCTTTAAGGCAAAGCATCACTGAGGTTGTGGGACCAGCAGAAACATCCCACGACTCTGAAGGTATCAAGGCCAAGTGAAAAGATTACATTGGATTGTGTGAGAAACACATTTTTTCAAGGCTATATAGAAAGAGACATTTATCAAGAGAGGTATTTAGTAGGTCAATGCAAGCCACTGAGTGTCACACACTAAGTCGGGCAAAGTCCTTGCTACAGAATCTACTTAAATCCTAAATCCTAGTCTTTTATAGGTGCTGATTCCTCATCTCTATCTTTGGGTGGTTTAGGTTCTTTCTTTTTTTACTGTATCTAGAAAATAATTGTGACATGAGTGACATCTAGAAACACACGTGGACACACGTCTTGCTGTAGATGCTAACACACTCATCTTCCATTATCTCAGAAACCTGACCAGATGCCGGCAGACAGACACAGCCGTGCAGCCCATGGGAATTGAAAAGGAATTCTGCTCATCAGGCAACCTGGGCAAGCTCTCATTATGCCTCAGCAGGGTCCTCAAGCTCAAGGAGGATGTTAGGAGCTTGGGGGGAGTCCAGAGGACTGCATCAAAAGAAATAAACGTTTGAGAAATGATCTTGAAGGGACAGGTTGAAAGGGACCGGGCTTGTTTGCCTGGGTAACAGCTTGTAAGCTCACAGCAGGCCCCGGTCTGGGCAATGGCTCGACTGGAGGTGAGAAGGCAGCTCTCATCCCACATGGGCCCAGAGACCAAGAGACAATGGCTTTGGGAGTGGGTTTTAAATTTCCATGGAAATTCGGGACCTCCAGATTTCAAACTGTATGTCCAAAGGAAATGACAGATGGCCTTTTGTCACCCTTTCCCCAACATCAAGGAAAATCAGAGATGATCTAGTGTAGAACAATAAACCTTAGAGAGAAAGTGAGTTCCCTGTTCAACACTTAGGTCACTGTTAGCTCTGTGACTCCCTGGTTTGATGTGGGGAGTTGTTAATTAACAAGTGCATATGTTTGTGAGTGGGTATGTGTGTGTGGGGTGTGTGTGTGTGATTGTGTATGTGAGAGTTTCTGTGGATGTGTGTGCATAAGTGTGTTGCAAGTGTGTGTGTGTGTGTGTGTGTGTGAATGAGAATGTGGTTCTCAACTCCACTGTTACCAGAAAAATAAGTACAAACATTTCTTAGGAACATTTTTTTCAAAGACAATGGGTGCTTTTGTCTGAAGACACACTCTAGCCGCTCCTTTCTTCAAAGACAGTCTGATTTTCTCATGACCGTGCTCCTTATTCTATTCCTTCACCTGCGGCAGCAAGACTGGAGGTGACCCATCTCCAATGAAATGGGGGTCACTGACGACACAGGTCAGAGATAGAGAGATAATAGGAACACAATCTGCTGTCTCTAACAGTGCTCACACTTCTTCCCTCTGAGCACAGGCTTTCTACTTCACCGCAGAAGAAAGAGAAAGTGATAATATCCAAGTTCAAAACATGACTTCTAAAGTTTTGCTTTTATCAACAAGAAAAGAAAATAGCTTTGTCATTGCAGTTGCAGAAATTCAATCTAATTTCCAAAGATCTGCCTTATGACAAATGCCGAAATATGTGGCTGCCTTGCTATGAAATTCCAAGGAAATGTCACTTTTCCCTAATTGTCCCATGACTGCTCTATTTATTCAGGAGTGAATTAAGAAAGAAAAGATCTATTTTTCATCTCTCTGAGTTTCAGAAAAGAGTATCTGTTGTGTAAAAATTGCAAATGCTTTGGAACTCATGTTTCTTTCCTGAGTTTCCCGTTCCCTCTTTTAAACATTTTTTAAAGTTCCAGTACATTTCTGCAAATCTTGTGTCTGTTTTACTACGTGAAGCCAAAACAGACTGCAAAACCAAGCAAATACTACCTCCACTTTTTATATAAATGGCCTTGGAGGGCAATCACCAAGGGCCCCAAACTCCTCTGTGGGTCAGTCAATCACTATTATCTCTAGATTCTTTAGGGTGGTCCATCATCTTTGGTCTAGGCTCCCAGGGCTAAGGGTCAATCCCTTTTGGTCACCTCTGCCCATCTCTGCTGGAGTAAATTTAGACCCTTCTGTTTCCTCCTGCAATCCTTCTCAGAAAGCTCTAACGATGATCTGAAGTGGTAAGTGAAAAACCAGTACTGAGAAAACTGAAAAGAAGTAAGGTATTAACAATCTCACACACACACACACACACACACACACACACACACACACTTCCTTCTCTATGAGCAGAAAAGTCCCATCCCTTCTTAAAGCCAGGTTCATCAGTAGATAAGCACTACTGCAATTATTTCAGGGCTCACTGATTATCTTTGTTTGCTTGACAGTACGAGATGAAAGTACAAGACCACATGGTCTTCCAAAAATGTCCTAGTAAGAAGTCTATCCATCTTCTATTAATCTTTCTGTGTTTTAATAACTATCAGGAATTCTGGTGTTGGAAAAACACTTTTTAAAAAGTGACCAGGGTAATTATTTGTGTGACAGTGCTAGGTATTCCATCTCCTAATTTGTGTACGAATATCCAGTGCGTTTAAATGTCTCTCACCTTGGATGAAAGCAAAGGACTTGGGTGACTAAGCAAAGGACAGGGTCATCTTTGTTGTAACTGAAGGTGACATCTCAGTCAAGAGCATGGGAATGAGGTGAGAAGAGGGACTTCAAAAAGTACTCAACTTCAGTGCAGTTCCAATTTGTAGGAATGCAGAGCAGTGTTCTTCTAAGCCATGTTCACCTCATTAGCTCCAGAGTATGGAAGAGGTGGATGCTACGTCTGTTCACAAGACTCGGAAGTCACAGAGGGCAGCCTTCTAATTTGCAGACCTGACAGCCTATCTACGACATGGCTGTGTGCCAGAATTTCTCCTGGTTGGAAAGAAAAAGTGCAGCAAACAAGTATCAGGAGGAACCTTCTCGGGTTGCTGTGTTTTGAAGAATGAAGAACATCCCATCAGATAAAGGAAGAGCTGAGAAGCAAAGGCACAAAGATTGTACGTTGTTTCTGTTCTAGAAGTTACCCCCTAGAACTCTTTCATTGAGAACTGAAGGGGCTCAGGATGAAACAGCTAAAAAGATGATAAGGGGGAAAAAGCAAAAGGAAACAAAGACCACAAAGCCTCTCTATGTCACCGAAGTCATGTAATACGAAGGTATAAGCACTTGGAAAATTGATTGTATTAATGCAATCCTCTGCCAGTTAACTAAAGCTCTCTCCTTTCTGAATCCAATATTTTAAGCTTTAAAAATCAATAAATGTAATATTTTGCAATAGTTTTGATCAACTAAGATGGCAGTTTATCTTAGTGAGGTTAATTGTGTTATTTACTTATTTATTTATTCATTGTCTTCTTGTTTCTACTTCTTTTATACCCAAAAAGCATTTGAGGTGGATTCATTTAATTATAAAGGCATTTAAACTTTTAAATAAGACACAAAAAAGTCTAAGTGGCACTTGAGACACCCCCTTGAGAGAAACCTCTCATCTCTTGGGTTTGTAGATATCGCATATATTCATAAATCAAATCCAGTGACTACTCAAGTGAGGCCAAAATACTAAAAAAGCACCCTGTATTCCATTAGAAAAAAATGCAATTAGTTTGCTTGGTTATGTTTTTAAAATAGCTTGACATTTTACATAATTGATGAATATGTAATTTTCTAATCAGTAATGGACAGTTCCCATGGAGATATCATTATTAGTCTTTTAATTTACAATTTCAGAGAGTTTTATGAAAGTGAAGACTAAAGCTAAGAAGCAGAGAAAAACCACTCCAAGATGGCATTATCCTATTTAACACCCATAATATTTAACAGTAACCACAATTAAGCTTCACAAATTAAGTCATTGTATTGAATTCCTATTGGATGAGTTATAGGTAGAGAATTTATGTGTAGTGATTTTTTTCCCCATACTAAATTTCCCATACAGAGTCATGTAACCAAGTGAACCTCAGAGCAACATATTATACTATAAAGGGTTAAATGATATTGTAGCTTATGTCTTTATTTCTTGTCTCTTTTCTCCAATGATAATAGAGATCTCAGTTACCATGCATAAACACGTAAATTCCCTTACTGAGAATATTTCTGATACTGTTGGTATAAGAGAGAAAGTAATTTATTTAAAGATTGCCTTGTTTGTCTACAGTTTTTGGTAAGTATCTAGATTATGTCGTTGGTCAGTTTGTCCTTATGACCTAAGAAAAAAAGACTAGCTGCCATGTTCAATCCAAATGACTTGTTATAGGAATATTTATAAGGACATCAATATTCATTGTATCTTACAGTCATGCTCCAAGCAAAATAAAAATAAAAGTTGAACGGCCACAAATATTACAGTATCATAGGATAAGAACTAAACAATATGTACAAATTCATTGACAACATCTGCGCGAGTGTTGTGGACAAAACATTTAAAAAGAAATCTACATAAAACAAAGTTGATAAATTTATCAAATGTTGATAAATTTTCAGAGACAGTATAAAAGTACACAAAACATAGAAGAGAAAAAGAATTTTAAAAAAACAACCACTAAGCCAGTACATAGAGTACAAGTTTACATTTATATTACAGAATGATGGGAACCAGAGACAAAAACGATTTGATAACAAACAGCAAAGAAAGTTGCACCAATCACAGGGAAGAAGGACTTTCCTTTTTAGATGAAAACGCAGACGGCCACAGCTCATCCCAACCCCCACCCATACACACACAGAAAAATAAAAGCAGATGCAAAAGTCGCTACAGTAACACACGACAGACAGAGGTGGAAAGCGTTTGGCATGTCGCATCACAGGAAGTCAATCACGATTGGCTAACGATGATGGTACCTGGCTCTGGTGCAGGTCACCGGCTTGCCTGAGAGGAGTAACAGATGGAGGGGGCACACCTGATGTGGATGCCGACCGCCCCAGTTTGCAGCTTACTTTCGGTTCTGTGAACAAGGAGGAAAGACACAGCATTAGCTGAGCAAAGTCTGCAGCCATGAACCGGCTCTCAGACTTTCTTTTGCTTTTGCAGCAGGTTCTTTTAATGCACTGAATTCTTCTGCTGTATGCCAATCATTGGCAAGTGATGAAACAATTTCATAACAATGGACTAAGACGAAATTTGTTCATGAGGATCAGCTCCTGGGAATAAAGAACAAATCATTTAAGTTCAAGGCCTTGCTCCCTTGTGCTCTTTACCCTATTTGCAATGAGTTTCTACAGAGTGATTAGGCTGGGAAGATCCCCTGGAGAAGGGAACGGCAACCCACTCCAGTACTCTTGCATGGAGAATTCCATGGACAGAGAACCCTGGCGGGCTATAGTCCGTGGGGTTGCAAAGATTGAACACGGTTAAATGACCAACACAACATCCCATTGGGAAAAAAAGCCAATTTTTGGTGCTTTATTTTCAGCTTTGGTCCATGGTTCTCCTATGTCCTAAAATGTCTTTCTACCCTCTCCAAATTTTTCTTCTATCCCGTCCTCTTTTCATTTTATCTTTTCCTCTTTCTCTTATTCTTTCCTTCTCTTTCTATTTTCTAGCTTTTTGATTTTCAAGTTGTCTTGTTCTGGCTATTTCCACGATACAATATTTTCAACGTATCATTTCCCTAATTTAAACTCATTTGCTTTTAAATTTATAGATACTTCTAAGACCTTTGCAATCTTTCATAATAATACTATTTTTCAAAATTAAAAAGACTTCTCCTAACTCTTCCTTTATTTAAGGGACCTAGATTGGGCACCTAGGTCATTGTCAGGATACTCTGGAGATTAGAATTTGGGGGATGGAAAGAGTTACCTTCATCCAAGAAGTGCAGAATATATGGTCTACAGGGGACACTAATTTTCAGACATATTGGAGGGTATTATGCAGGTGATTCTAGTACCTACACACCTACTCTTAAAAATATAAGTGTTCAAATCTAAGTGTACCACACGATGACTTAAACTATCTCTCTAACTTATAAATGAATTTAACTTCCCAGGAGGCATAAGTCCTTACATGTCTTAAAGAATTATCTTTTATCATGTAAAATAAAGGTAAAGGTAAAGCATCTATTGGAATCCTGGTTGACATGTTTTTATAATGAGCCAGTGTTTCTATATATCCCTTTATGGCAGTAGCACATTTAGGTACATGAAGAAAATTAAGCAATATTTTTTTCCTTGAAAAGGATAGCAAATAATATTTTTTCCTATGAGGTTCCTTTAAAGTGTATGTTGAAGAGATTATCCGATGAGTGACACAATCCCATGCCTTTCATATTACCCGATGTACCTATGGATTAATTTCCCCTCCTAGGTTTCCAGCCAGACTCTGACTTAATCAGCATCTTTCAAGCATAGGCGCTGATATCTCTAATGCACAGAACTGAGACTTACCAAAATCCAAGCAAACTCCCAATTTCATCATGACCCAGAAAGGCTTTGCCTTACCCGCATTGGACAGTGGTCCCGATCATGTCTTGGTTCATCCACCACCCCCAAGGGACTGCAATTTAGCCATTAACCAGTCATCACACATGGCAGCTTCCCTTACTGGCCAGCCATCCTGTGGCTTTAAAGTCCAAGCCCAACGTGGCTCATATGAATTATGACTTCACCTGCAGTGGCAGGGACAGGCTGAGATGATTACTTACACATTCATTATGCACACATGCATATACAGACAATAAACACATTTCTGTGTTTACACACACACACACACACACACAAATACACACTCCATTGTTGCTTAATGGTATCATGTCATAGGGACAATTTTGTTCATTGTGAGTTTTGGGTTTATCTTTAGCGTACTCATTTCACTCTTGTTTTCCATTTCACCTGGTCCTTCACTTAAATGCATTTGTAATCTATTATGGTGTTTGTGAGACCAGGTTGGTGAAACAAACTATTATAATCTTGGGCCCACCAAGGTTCTTTTGGGCCAAAAGAATGTTTTGAAAAAGTCTTGAAAATCCTAGAAAAGATACTGTTTTTATAACTGAATCTCTTAGAGCTATGATATCGAAGTTAAATTGTCCAGTTCACTCACCTTTGGAAATACACTGTGCTTTAAGTCTTAAACAGAGGGGCTTAGGATCTATAGTACTGAAAACAATATGTTTTCATCCTGAACTTTGCTAACATAAAAAATTGCCAAGGCTTTAGAGGACCACAAATAATGGACATATGCCTCAAAAGAGATCTAAGATGCGGCTTTCCTCCCCTTAAAAAAAAAATAATTCATTTCATTTAGAGATTCATTATGAGCTAGAAATTACACCTAAGGAAAAACCTGTCTTTGTGTAATAAACTACCAAAAACCTAGAGGTAAAAGTTGATGTTATTTGTGCAATTTTAGTGAAGGTCAAGTATAAAAAAAAAAAACAAGAAAGAATGAGGAGGGGGAGATACACAGAGACAGAAAGAATGGAAGAGGAAAATGGAAAAAAGGAAGAAGGAAGGAAGGTGAGGGTGAGAAAGTGGGAGGGCTGGAGGAAGGAAGGAGAAAGAAGACATTAACTTTAACTCCTTAAAATAAACTATCATCAAGATATTCTGTGATGTTTCCAGGCTGGTAATTCATCATCATCTTATGATATTACTAAGAAAGTGCCAACTGGAATTTGTTACTTAAGAAGAAAGAACTCGTATCTTTCTTTTTACTCTTATTGGATACAATCTTTCATTGCATTTTTAAAAGATGGTAATTTCTCCATCATTTTTCATCTTCCCTTTAGGGTTAATTTAATTTCTGTTCAGGATTATGTTCCTTGGTGTTGTTACAGGAGAATCCCTAAGGCATCCACAGCTACGAGTGTTAGCACTGGAGTTCTCTTTGCTTTCAGAAAGAAAAGACAAATGACTGTTCTCAACCTCTGGATCTACACAGCAATAAGAGATTAGTGCATTTTCACTAAAGAAAACACTTTCATCTAGCGTCAAAGAAATAAGATCAGTCAAATTCTGGGGAGACATATTTTTTCTCCATCTTGTTTTATTTTTTTAGTACACAATATTTTTCTCTACTGGCAGAGGCATATCATGATTTTCCCTAGTCAATCACACTGCTGAAAGTTTCTAATCGATGACTTTGTGCTACATGGAGGTCACAGAAAGGCCTTTTATTTAATAAACCAAGGTATGCTGATTGCAAACTCTACTTTCATTTCTGGAGAAGGCTTTTTTTTTTTTCATAACACATATGCTATTTGAGATAAACTGATGCCTGAGTAATAAAGGCACAGTTTTGCCAGGACTATTCTAAATCTTTAACCTTCACAGATTTCAAATGCTTTGTTTTCAAGCTTCCCTCACACATCATAGCAAACATATCCGATGCCCTCATATCCTATATCAAATGTAAATTTTATTATGTAAAATTGGAATACATTTTTATAATTTTGCTTTGAAATTACTGGACTGTGAAAATCCAATTAATTCATGATTCGCTATGATTTCTAGACAGTAATCATGCACACTCAGGAATCCTTATAGAATTAGACAATCTAATCTGGAATTTATTTTCAGGTGTAATGAAACTGTTTTAATGTTAAACTTAACAATTAATTAAATTGACCTAATGTTACATTTTTTATTTAGTTAAATATCCATTCATGTTAATGTGGCAGTTTCATTTGGAATTTTGGTGCTACTATTTTTTTTAAGTATCAAATATTTGCAGCCATGAAGTTGAAACAGACTTGCTTCTTGAAAGGAAAGCTATGGCAAACTTAACATATTAAAAAGCAGAGACATCACTTTGATGACGAAGGTCTTTATGGTCAAAGCTATGGTTTTTCCAGTAGTCATGTATGGATGTGAGAGTTGGACCATAAAGAAGGCTGAGCACTGAAGAACTGATGCTTTTGAACTGTGGTGCTAGAGAAGACTCTTGAGAGTCCCTTGGACAGGAAGGAGATCAAACCAGCCAATCCTAAGGGAAATCAACCCTAAAGATTCATTGGAAGTGTTGATGCTGAAGCTGAAACTCCAATACTGAGGCCACCTGATGCAAAGAGCCAACTCATTGGAAAAGACCCTGATTCTGGGAAAGACTGAAGGCAAAAGAAGTGGGTGGCAGAGGATGAGATGGGTTAGATAGTATTACTGATTTAATGGGTGTGGATTTGAGTAAACTCTGGGAGATAGTGGAGGACAGAGGAGCCTGGCATGCTGCAGTCCATGGGGTCACAAAGGGTCAGACATGACTTAATGACTGAACAACAGCATTTGTATAGATCCGTGAGAACCCAGGGGCCCACAGACCCAGGCACTGTCACTATGATGCTGAAAGATGAAACAGATCTGATCACTTCTGTGATCACTTTGTGGTTGTGGAGAAAGAATATCAAATGTAAAACTCTATCCTGGGAGTAGACATGCTTCTCTCTCTCCATCTCCATGAGGGGCATTCCTCTAAGCCAGCATTCGTATAGTATTGAATGACTCCTGGCATCCTTTAGCTATGGACCAAATTCTAGTGTTATCTGAAGGGTCACATAGTAAAACTATTGATGCTGGAGTAATTGGTGATTCTCCTTGGGAATACTGGAATTTTGGTAAAGATCTAAAACCCAGATAAAAGTGAGGTGTCAACCTGGTGGATAAAATATATGATCCAATGTCAAAAGTAGAAAATTAAAGAATCCATTGCATACAGGAGAAAGAGAATCCCATGCACGTGGGGTTAGGAGTACCTGTTGTATTCCTTCTGAGTATCTGAGGGCTGGGCTTTCCCTTGCTTCCACTTTCTTATGCAGAGAGAATTTAAATCACACTGCTCATACACAGGGATGCCCCCGATGCTGTAATGCACGATCTTCTTACATGGCAACATGGCATACTGTAGCATTAACAGCTTTTTAAATTTGAGAGCCTCTTTTATTACACATAATTTCTGAAATGCCCTTAAGATCTTCATCACCTTAGCTAAATATGAAAGTGTGCTTTTAAA